AAAAAAAAAAAAAAAAAAGGTTGGCGATTGCCAGGGGCTAGAGGGAACATGAGTAGGAGTGGCTGCTTTATGGATACTGGGTGTCCATTCGGGATGACGAGATGTTCTGGAATAAGATAGGGGTTGTGGTTGCAAAGCTTTGTGAAAACTAAAAAGCACTGAATTGTGCACTATAAGAGCATGGACTTTATGTTATGTGAATATCTTTTTTTTTTTTTTTTTTGGAGACAGTCTTAGTCTGAGCCTAGGGACCAGCTAGGAGCTTCAGGGAGGAGAAAGGCCTTAGAGATGGCAGCCTAAGGAGGCTGGGGAGACTGGACAGGGCCAGATCCAAGGCCTTGCTGGCCCTAGAGAAGGGTTTGGGCTTCCATTCATCATGGAGGGGGGCGTCGGCCAAGGGGGATGACACGTCTGATTTATCATTTGTAAAGATCAATTTGCTTCTGTGTAGAGAACAGCCTGGAGGGACAGCAGGAGAGCGGGCGGGTGTGGGAGGCTGGTGGGAGCAGGGGCCGCTGGAGGTGTGATGCTGACATGCTAGGGATGGCTGGGCCTGGGGGAGGGCCAGGTGTTCAAGAGGAACAGAGGAGAGGGGTGCTGGGGAGCCTCTGGGGGATTAGCCATTGAGGGGTGTGTTTAAATAAATGGCTTCGTCAATGCAGCATATCCGCTGAGAGCCACCGAAAGGGGCCCGCAGCCTGTGTGTGCTGACGAGAGACAGCCCAGTGCGTGAGGGAAAAGGAGCAAGGTGGAGGTTCCTGTTGCCATGCTCCACGCTGTGTAGGACATTAAAAGACGAGGGTGCGGTGGCTCACGCTTATAATCCCAACACTTTGGGAGGCCGAGGCAGGAGGACTGCTTGCGCCCAGGACGTCAAGACCAGCCTGGGCAACAAAGTGAGACCCTGTCTCTACAAAATCTCTTTATAAATTAGCCAGGCATGGTGCTGCACACCTTAGTCCAGCTACACAAGGGGCTGAGGCGGGACAATTGAGAGCGCCCAGGAGTTGGAGGCTGCAGTGAGCCGTGACTGCGCCACTGCACTCCAGCCCAGGCAACAGTGAGACACTGTCTCTTAAACAAAAAGATGAGATCTGCGTGCATATGCGTGAAGTTTCCAAAAAGGAGAAGTGCAGGTGGCTGACTTAGGGGCTGGGATTCTGAGATTTTCTTCCCCTGCATACTCCTCTTTCATTTGCAGTTTTTCTTTTTTTTTTTTTTGAGACGGAGTCTCGCTGTGTCGCCCAGGCTGGAGTGCAGTGGCCGGATCTCAGCTCACTGCAAGCTGCGCCTCCCGGGTTTTTACGCCATTCTCCTGCCTCAGCCTCCCGAGTAGCCGGGACTACAGGCACCCGCCACCTCGCCCGGCCAGTTTTTTGTATTTTTTAGTAGAGATGGGGTTTCACCGTGTTAGCCAGGATGGTCTCAAACTCCTGACCTCGTGATCCGCCCGTCTCGGCCTCCCAAAGTGCTGGGATTACAGACTTGAGCCACCGTGCCCGGCCACATTTGCAGTTTTTCAAGACCACATGCATGTTTCACAATGAAAGATTTTAAAGTAGATGATTTTATTCCAGTAACTGACTACAAGAAAAACAAAGGGGAATCAATACACTTCCCGGGCAGAGCCAAACAGCCTGGGCTGGAAATGCAGCCGAGGACAGAAACAAACACAGGCAGGAGGCTGGGAAAGCTCACGGCCCCCTAGGACGGCGGGGCAGACCTGGAGCCACCAGGCATTACTGCACGTGGATCTGGTGTGTTCCAGGTGCTCGGGAGACACGAGCATTAGTTTGTGTGCAAATGTGTCATAGGCATGTGAAGACATTTGTGATCATCTGAGTCCATCTGATCAAAATATTTATAAAAAGTCATTAATTTATTCCTACAGTCAAGATTTGTGAGCACAGTGAAGCAGGTTCTGCACATTTCATCTTCTCATCAACCCTGAGTAGTAAGGTCGATTGACGTGTTACAGATGAGGGTACGAAGACACAGAGAGGTTGAGGAACTTGCACAAGGTTGCCCAGCCACAGCAACGCAGCCCTGACAAGTAGATGCCAGCATGTCCTGTGAACAGAGCACACCTCAGTCCCAAGTCTCTGCTGCTGTGGGGAGTCTGGAGTCCCCAGCGCTCTGCACACAACTGGGCTTGGCAGCCTTCCAAGGTGCGCCCTAGGTTCACTCACCATGCAGTTACCAGACTAAGAGCTGGAGAGACAGCAGTGAACAGTCACCTGCCTTATGCAGGTCTGTGAAAGGCACTTGAAACGGCCTTTTACTTATGGGAAACTGAGGCACGGAACTACTAAATGAGCTGCCCAAGTCCCCACAGCTGGGCACAACTGGCAGAGCTGGGACTGGAACCCGGGCAGTTTGATTCCTGGCTTCTGTGAACCATTAGCCCCGAGCTGGGAATGCTGGCGGCATCACTCTTGGGGACAGGATGACCTGGGGGGTCCTTTCAGCACTTTGGGTACGTCCCCACTGCCTGGGCCTGTTGTTTCTGATGAGCGCAGCTACTAACTTTATCGGGGACCTTCCATACGCGACAAGACGCTTTCCTTCTGTTCTCCAAATTGTGTCTTTGGCTTTCGGCATTTTTACTATGGTGAGCCTGCCTGCTTATTTTAATATCACGTTTTTGGTTTAACCTGTTTTCCAATTTCCAGGCCAACAGACGTGATTTGTGTGAACAAAGCTTCAATAGATGGCCCCATCCAACACCTCCCTCTCCAAGATGAGGTCTGGAGGAGGGAAACGGTGCATCTATGTTTGCTCTGCACACTGGGGACTCCAAACTCCCTGGGGCTGAGACCAACTCTCCCCCTCCAGCCCTCTCCTGGTTCCTCCACCCCAACCCACCAGTAGCACTCAGGTACCAGATGTAGCCTCCCCAGCCCAGCCACACAGACGGACTGGCCACCCGCAGAAGAGAGGTCCACTAAGCTGGGCTGTGTTACGGATGACACCAGGGGAGGCCACACAGCAGGGAGGATTCAGACAGGGATGGAGGCAGCCAGCAGGACTCCACAGGGGGCTGGACCTAGAGGGGCAAGGCTCCAGGGCAGGCAAGGAGGCAGTTAAAAGGACAAGACCACCTGAGCAGCAGCAGCCACATCAGAAAGCCTCAGGCGCCTGTAATCCCAGCACTTTGGGAGGCCGAGGCAGGTGGGTCATTTGAAGTCAGGAGTTCCAAAGCAGCGCGGGCAAAATGGTGAAATCGTCTCTACTAAAAATACAATACTGAACTGGGTGTGGTGATACCCACCTGTAGTCCCAGCTACTCAGGAGGCTGAGGCAGGAGAATCGCTTGAACCCAGGAGGTGGAGGTTGTAGTGAGCCGAGATCGTGCCACTGCCCTCCAGCCTCGCCAACACAGGGAGACTCCATTCCAAAAAAACTCTCCTACAAGCAAACTCTCAGGCCTGGGGGGCCTCAGGCCTTAATACATTCAATATCCCCCATTCATTCAGCATCTATCGTATGCTGGTGTGCTAGACAAACCTCTTGCCCACCAACAGGAAAAACACGACAGACAAACCTGCCAGCTTGTTGGCTGGAAATCAGTGCTGTGGACGACAACTGAAGCAGGTGCGAGGGGCAGGCCTCACGAGAAGGTGCCATCTACTAAGGTGAGCAGTGAGCTCTCCTTATGAAGGTGGAGTCCCAGTGGAGTGAGGCAAGCCATAGGTGGGCCTGAGTGGGACTGGGACAGCAGGGGTCCTGAGCAGATACCAAGTCACCCAACTCAGTTCTACAGCAACCCCTCAATCCGAGTTAACAGACCCAACTAAGGGAAGGACAGAGGACATGGTAATCCACAGCAGACAGGGGCTGGCAAGAAGTGGTCAGATTTGCTCTCCTTCAAGCTGGGCAAGGCTGGAGCAGACAGGGCTGAGGTCGGAAGGGCAGTTGTCTGCCCCAAAACGCAGGGCTCCCAGCCCTCTATGACCCCAACCAATGGCAAGTCAAGGCCGACAGTCCCTTGACTCTGTCACAAGGCCATGGGTAGTCCCAGACAGGGAGTAGAGTCCTTCTCTGAATCGGGTACCCCAGGATGGCCAGAACCAGGGGTGTCCTGGATGCTGGATCCTCGGTCCCTGGCAGTGGCTTACAGGTGCCTAGCATGACTCTTTCCCCATCCAAGCCTCTCTCTCGAGTGTCACGCCGTCTTCCAGGCTGGACTGCAGTAGTGGGCTCATGGGCTCACTGCAGCCTCAAACTCTTGGCTCAAGTGCCGCGCCCACCTCAGCCTCTACTCAACCTCTGGAGCTGGGACCACAGGCAGCACACCAGCGCACCCAGGTAGTTTTATTTTACAGACTGTGTCTCACTATGTTGCCTAGGATGGTCTCAAACTCCTGGCCTCAAAAGCTGTCATAAATGGTAGGGAGCAAACAGGCCGAAGGAAACAGGAGGACTGGGCAATCAGGAGAGCTTGGGTGACGGGGCGGCCCAGGAGTGGCCACTGAGCTGACACCTGAGGCAAGAGTCAGCTCAGAGAGACTGGGGAGGGATGGGGACAGCTGGAGGGCTGGAGTAGGGGGACGATGCTAAGGCTGTTCAACGTCCACAGGCTGTACCCTGGGGTTGCCACCTCCCTTACGGGTGTGAGTCACTAACCCGCAAGCTGCCCATCTCAGAGACGAGGCTGCATCAAGTCAAGCTCATCCCCTCCACGCATGGCTGTGCCCACTCTGCATGTGAGTCACCTTCCTCAGGTGATGCCTGTCGTCCCCCAGGTCTTGGGAACACCCCAAGTCCCCAAACCCTGCTGCAGCACCAGGGCCCAGCCCTCAGCCCGCACCCTTCTGGGTTAGAAACGGCTTTTTTTTTCTTCATTGGAGGCCCTTGTTCCGGTTGGGTTTTTTCGGGCCCCTTCCCATTGGGCCGTTGGTTTTGGTTACCAGTTCGGCAGGTTTTTTCCTTGACGCCATTGCCCTTTGCCCCACTCGGGGCCAGGGCGGTTCCCCCCCTTTTCTTCCTTGGCCGGCGATCACCTCCAGATGGACATGGTGACATGCAGGATTTTGATGACATGGCCTGAATGACAACACACAGGGCCAGAGCTCCCCAGAGCGCTTCACAAAGGGAGGCCCAGTCCAGGCAGGTGAGAAAGCCAGCTGACTCTTTATTGCTTTGGGGGCAGGGGGCTCAGGAGCTCTTGGTGGGGCGGGTCCGCTTCCTCTTCACCATCACAGGCTTCTGGCTGCGCAGGATGGCGCTGGCCCTGCGGATGGCTGCCTGGAGGGGGGTTGGGGTGGGGGCAGAGCAAGGCTCAGCTCACACACTCCACAAGCTGTCCCCTAGGCCCATGCTGGGGGTGGGGAGTAGATTGAAAGCAAGAATCCATCCCTCTCCAGCCCATATGCAACCAGTAGTGGGAGGCCCTTCCCCAAAGCACGGGCCACCCCCCCCGCCTGACCCCCAAACCCCAGCTCACCATGCGCAGGTCGGGGCGGTACTTGTTCTTGCGGATCATGTGTCTGATGCTGCTGAGCGTGGCGCGAGCATTCTTGTTGATGGTGGTCCGCACATAGGAGGTGGCAGGCTTCCGCTGGCCTGGTTGCGGGTCAGGGAGGTCCTGGGGTCAGTCCACCTAACCTGCACCTTTAGCGCAACTCGCAGGTGTGGACAGTCTCACACTGAGAAGCTGAGCACCCCGGGCCCATGGCAGGCGCCCAGGCAGGCCAGCAGGTAGCTGTTTCCCCACCTGTCCATTTAACAGAGGCTCACTCATCACAGAGTACTGAGGACACAGCTTGTCACACTCATAGCCCAATTCTGTCCACCACGAAAACACTCCTTTCTCATGCCAGGAAGCTGCTGCTTCAGTTAGGAGCTGACCCAGGTCTGGCCAGAGCCCATGCTCCTGGCAATGGGTATGAACAACTTCCCAGGAACCCCAGGCCCATCTCCACGGCAGTGGTTAAACATCAGCTTGGCTGAGAGACCCAGCCTCACTCAATCCAGTCCCTTAGTCTAGGAAAGGCCACCCATGTATTCGGCAATCCAAGAGGGGAGAGCTTTCAGGACACCCCAAAACGGGGTCCCCAGGTACCAAGCAATTGCCTGCTCTCTGGACTATGTGTCCCTGAAGCAGGAGGATCACTAGCCAAGACTGCGTTTGCTGCTGCCATTGAATTAATGGACCCTTGGCTCTGAAGCAGTTCCAATCAAGGACCTGAAAAAAACTCACTCTAAAAAAAGAAAACACAGCCCTGGCAAGAACACATGTGAAGCTGGACTCCTCGTCAGTCGCCCCCGACTCCCATGAACACTCAGGGAATCCCTCAAAACGGCCTGGACCTGACAGCAGAACGTATGGAGTGGGGTCCTCAAAACCTCTTCTCTAACCTACACAGGCGGAATGGGGGTCAAATGGCTGCGACCAACCCAGCCTGTCCCCTTCTAAGTGTGGCAGCGAGGGCCCCTCCCCTATTGTGCCTCAATTTTCCCACCTGTGGAATGAAGCCATCCATCGCCACCCTGACTCGCTTTCAGGATTTCATCTGAAAACATCAACCCCGTGCCTTCACTCTCAACCACCACCGGGGAAGTTCAGGTCCTTTTTTGTTTCCCCACTTCACAGGTGAGGACACAGGCTCAGACGCGCGCGGATCACAGAGAGTCGGCCGAGCGCGAAACCGGTTCCCAGACCAACACCCTGGCACCAGGGATGCCGGCCGCAATGGCAGTTATCACTCCTCCTACCTGACAGTTAAAAAATCACAGCTCCCCGCCCCGGGAAACGGGCCGCTCTCTGGCCCAAACCAGACAAAACTCACCGGATCTCCGCTTAATGACCACCACGACGCCTTTGCCGTCGGCTGCCGGCTCCACGCCCACGGTCTTGCGGTGAATCAGCCCGTTGTAGCGGAAGGAATTGCGGGCCTTCAAGTTATTGGGCTCCTGGGAAGGAGGCGGCACAAGGAATCGTGAAGATGGGACCCGGAGACATGCGAAGGTCCCAAGGAATCGTGAAGATGGGACCCGGGGACATGCGAAGGTCCCGCCCGCTGACCCAGAGACAGGGACCCAGGACCCTCCTCCCGCAGGAGCCACGCATCCGGGCCCCACTTACAGTACTGTAGGTCTGCTTATTCCTCTTGATCAGGAAACTGGAGCAGTTCCGCACGACCATCCATTGCAGATGCGCAGACATGGCGGCGGCTGCGGGGAAACGGGCACGTGGAAAGCGTCAGACCCTGAGAACTAAACCGGCGTTGGGCCGGGGGCCCCGCTAGGACAGCAGAGGAAGTCGGCGACTGGGAACGTGGGTGAATGGGAGACCCCTGAGGGCAGACAGCGACCTATAACTCCGTCGGGCGGGACTAAGTGACCTAAGGCGGCGGGACCGAACTCAGGCAGCCGAGACTAACTTCCGGGAGAGTGAGGGGAAAAGAACTTGAGAATTCACAACGACTTCAGGGGGTGGGGCTGGGGTCCGCCAAGGACCCTTGAGGCGCAAGGGGAGAAGGCAGGCACAGGGCTGCGAGGGAGTGGGCGGCGGGCGCGAGATGGCGGCCACACCAAGAAGACGAACCCTCACCTCCTCTCGCAGCGGCGACCTGAGACGGAAAGAGGTTGGGAGGGGGCGGGACGACGCCTTTAATACCGCACACGCATTTCCGCTTCCTCTCTGGGCGGGCGCAACGGGAGTTGTCGGTCCCCACCTCCGAGGCGGCTCGATGATATTCGGCTACTTCCGCCTACCAATCGCTCAACGCTCGGGAATATTCGGAACTCTTCGGTTAGAGAGCCGAGAGCGTGTTCCGAGGACCGTTCGGAAGTTTTCGGAACTCCACCGCTGGATTTCTGAGTGGCCCCAATTCGAGAGGTCCTGGAAGCCATGCCTCATCGTTGTCTCTCCGGTATTGCTCACCCAGCGCTTGTCACTGTGATTGGCATATGATGGGCGCTCAACGAACGTTTGTTTTATGAACGAACTGGTGAATGCGTGAACTATTTAAGCCTAGCCCCGGCACCTTTGGATATTTCCGGTCTTGGTAAGCCCTCGCGGTGATGGCCAATGAAGGCGCCGAGGCCCGCTCGGGCATTTTCGGAACCCTCCGGAAACGCTCTTCGGAGAGGTGTGTCTGTTCGGAAACATTCCGTCTTCATTCGGAATCCCTCGGCTAATCTCGGCAGCCCCCATGCAGTTCGCCCTCCCCAGAGTTTTCTTGAAATAAAACTTTTGAACTGTTTAAGCCTGGGGAGAACCTACACGGAAACTTCTCGCGGACTGCCACCCCAGGGGAGCGCGGATGCCCTCTACGGGAGAGTTGTTTGGAGGGAGGGAGATTTGCATGTGGCTGCTGTTGGCTCCCCTTAGGATTCTGTAGATTTGCCAGTCCTCTTCCCTGCCCTCCACCTGTGCCTCCAGCCTGCAGTGTGCCTGTCACACCCCATCAGCTCCCTGGGAGGTTATGATCCGTTGTCAGGGCCACCCTAAAGGGGCAGGAGCCTTGCCTGATATCTCTCTGTGTCCTCGACCTCACCCACGCGGCATGGTGCTGGGGAGGCCTCAGAGACTCCTGCTGAACAAAAGTAACGAGGGTGCCTGTGTCACCTCCCCAGGGCTCCTTAATTTGTGGTTACACCTGGGAACTCCTTGGGGCAGGGGCCTCGTCTGGTCCATAGGACTATCCATAGGACAGTCGGGGTTCGCCCAGCCTCCTCCACGGGTGCGCTCTGGACCTGATGGGTCTCGTCCGTCTTTGTTCCCTTGGCTTCATTCGCTGGGCACACAGGAGACTCCAGAAGACACGCTCTGAGTAAAGGAAACTCAGCTTCCGCTGAGCCCCGAGCTTCCCCCCTCTTAGACCATCCCGACTGCTGGTTCTCGCGTCCCAGAGCTCCTTGGCGTCTAAGGGCCTTGTCTGATCTGCACTGTCTAATCTGCACTGGCTTCGGGAGGCGGACACTGAGCAGAAACAACGCCACGCCCGGCTCCGAGTGTCCCACGCTGCCACCACTGAAATGCCCTGATTTTTGGCCATGTGTGACCTCCCTGGGTGGCACGGCCCCTGAGGCACCCGTGGCTGTGCGCCTGGCTACCACCGGCGCAGGCCTCTGAGCAATAATAGCCCCTGCACGGAAACCACGGCCGGGGTCGGTTTGCGCCCAGCCGGGCTCAGGTGACCAGGCGGGAGCTTGGCACACCTGGCGCCGTCCCCTGA